ATGGGACATGAAGTACATAAACTTTCTTTCTCTGGGAGTTGACAGAGGCCGTAGATGCTCCAGAAATTATTCAGTCTCCCAGCGGCGCCGTCAAAGATACTTAGGTCTCCTGTGGTATGGGAACACTTTACCGGCCGAAGGAGAATACTACTGTCATTTCTACCAACCGAACGGGAACTATTCTGCGCGGAGCCTCGACGCCGTTCAGCGGTATCATGCAGCTCGTCGTCAAGGGGGAATCAAGCGTCAAGTAGAGCATGCTGCGATGAACATGCTATATTATACCAAATATTATAGGACCAAATATTCAACCACTTGAATACAGTCTGAGGTGGTAATCTTTGTGACACCGACGCTACTCTGTCCCAAGGATGAGCTCCCTCGCCTCGAGAAAAAATATTGGTTCCACATACCCGGACAATTCCCCATGAACTCGGTCGCCCCGACCCTCTCCGCGACCGCAGAAAAGATACCCTGATGCCCCCCGAACCACCAGTCATACCCAGCGGTTTGATCAACCGAGCACATATACGTGATGACATCGATGTACGTCGCGCGCCCGCTGCAGATGCCCTCGAAGCGGAATGTTTCGCCGTAGCTTGAGAACTGGACGTTGGAAGGAGCGGTCGAGTTGGGCATTGTGAATGTGTACGGAGCGCCGCGGTAGCTATACTCCAGGTGAGCGGGACCGGAAGAGTAGGCGGTGAGAGTCTCGAAGAAGTCGCCATCGAGGTTGCCGGCGCGAGTGGCGCCAGGGACATTGTCGGTACCGGTGGTGTTGCTTACGACGGCGCCGCCCTGCAGGGATGTTCAGCTTGTCTACAACGAGAGGAGAAGCCACAGGATACTCACATACCACGACGCATCGTAGGACTTCGTAATATTGATGAACTTCTGCGGCGGCGCATTGTAGGTGTAGCTGTTGTGCACAAAGCCATCGAGGAAACCCTCTGGACAGGGAACGTCAAGTTCGTAGCCCTGGCTTTTGTACGCGGTGACGGAGGACAGCAGGATCAGGGCCGCAAAGGGCGTCGACAGAAAGCGCATCGTAGGCTGCTTGCGGGCTTGAGATGGGGACTGGGCCGGGCTGCGTCTGCTTTTATCCACCGCGGGCCATTATTAATGCACCGAGCGAGTTTGTAGCCAGTTTCAAATTGGGCGTGGAGATCATGATGCCATTGGGACCGCGTTTACCGTGTGCCACGCGGCTTTTGCCCCACTTACACAAGAAGATGAAACATTATACATTATAATGCCATTCGCTCGGAGAGAGGAAACAATGGTGACGCCGCGGTGTGGCGCGCAAGAAAGAGATTGAACAGCTTGTAAACGATCCTTGGTCATCTGGCCTTCCGACGGGTCGTTCAACGTTCGTTGCTCGCTTCTCGGGAAATTTTTCAAGGCACTGCGCTATGTACACGATTACCTCAAGAATCCGATCGAACAGGATGAAGCATACCGAAGGAATGGTCAAATGCGGGCACGACATTCGGCCGCGTTTGGGTGAGGGGGTGGGAGTTCGTGGTGACCAGCAGCAGGGGCAGAAGAAGCACGGTCAGAAGTCCAGCAGAAATCCCATTAACCTGCAAGCCGAGAGCGAATTGTTTGTTCGATATCGGAGTCCCTTCACGTGGAATCCGTAAAGCTCACGTCTTCTCCCATCCGTCGGACGTCATATCACCGCGGCGGGCTCGTTATTCCAGCGTTTATGATAGCGTCGTTTAGCCGCCCAAGGATATTGTTTGACTGGTCCGCAAAGCTCTTGGGGCTCTCGAATTCAGCCAGGTCGATCGGCTTTGGCCTTCTCTCCTTTGTCCAAGTCTCGAACCGCGAGAATGAGATGCGCGGGATTCATCCGGGCGAGATGGATTGCGCTCGTGAGCGCAAGGCCGGTGTTGCTCCCTGTAACGAGGAACGTCTGGCCCGTCAGGTCATCATCGATGCTTGGAGGCAGTTTCGCAGAATATTGGTCGGGCAGGAACGTGAAGAGGGCGAAGCGGACACCGCTGAGAGAGAGAGACCCATCGTTCCAATGGTCCGCGTAACAAAGGGCACGTTTTCTCTCGGAAGTTGCTTTGAGAGTGGGATATTCCGTTATCCGGCGATGGGGCGAATACTTCCATGAGGATATAGGGTATCGCGGAGGGAAGTTGGATTTTCTGGCTTTGGGATAGTGGGATCCGCGTCATCCGCGTCTTCACCACGGCAAACTCGTCCGATTCACGTCAAGCTGCGCGTTTTCCTTACTCCCGGTCCGACTCGACTCGGATTTCAGCTTTGTTCTTGTCCTTGTTGCGCGATACTCTTGGAATCGGTCCCTCCTGGCAAGATTGTGGGCGAGTTGCATGGTGGTTGGTTTTTAGGAGAGTGTTTGAGCTGGATCCTGATGGCACAGAAACCAAACAAGACTACCTGGCTTTCTCCTTCTTCCTCCCATGCACACACTCTGGTCCGCCCTTGCGTCCTATGTAGACTCTGGTCGCTTCATCTGCCCATTGCTGCTCTTGTACCTGTCAATTTTGAAGAGACCAAAACGCGAACTGAAACGACTGGCAGCTATACTGGCTCGGGTCTCGGATCCTTGCATTCCGCTCTGACTGGCGAATCGGACCGGGACGAGCGCCACCGTTATTCTCTCAACTCCGAAATTCTTTGGCATTGGCACTCTCATACAGCGGGCTTCGTGCCCGCAGCCTTACCCAGCGATTACCGTACGGAGCTGTGACTCGAGCTCGGAGATGACACATTGCCCAGCACTCGCGTCACTTGCCCTCGCGAACTACAGTCTACACGCGACTTGGCCTATTGGGCCTGCCCCTACCGCCGCGATCGTGTTTGTTTTGAGAGCGATTGTCCCGTCGGCGCTCGCTACGTGTCGCGCGACGGACCCAGCTCTGTTTTCAAAGCTGGCCCGTCCGGATGTCTCCTATGCTTCGACTGACAGCGAGCCCTCCCCTCCTCCTTATGCCCTTCCTTTCCTGCCATTCGTTTCCTACCGGCTTCGCGTACATCGCCCCACCGAGTCGCTTACGGATCGCTCGGACTCGACCAAGACTGAGACTCGATCCCGGTTTCACGGACAACACCCTCCGTGCTGTCCTCTTTTGCGGACGGTGCAATCGCGGCCCTCCGAGTCGAGCCTCGATGCGACGCTCTCGACGAATATTGTCGGTGGGCAGAGAGCGCGGGACAGGAGGAAGGAATTAAGTCAGTGAGGTTAGATTTCAATCTGGAGGGCGGGCGGGTACCAGGGATGCGCAACGCCGGGGTGCAGAGTTGGAGTGCGCTATATGCAAAGTGTGATCCGGATACTATGAAAATACAATACTGTAGTGTTACACGATTCTATGAGAATGTAATTCCTGCGATAATCTAAGCTTTCTTCTGACCGTCCAATTCGGCGTACGACTCGAGAACGTGCTTGTGCACGTCGCTGTCCGCCTCAAAGCCTGTCAGCTCTATAACATACTTGTCGAGTCCCTTGTCCGCAATGGCCTTGCGCATCTCTACACTCTGCTCGTCCTCCTCGTTCTCGTACAACAACGCCGCCGCGATGCCCCGCGCCAGATGCCGCACAGGGATATCGTACTCGACGCACATGCGCGCAGGGCCAACAAGACGGTCACCGCGCCCGAGCTTCCGCAGCGGCTGGCGCCCCACACGCACCACGTCGTCCTTGACCGCCGCGTTCTGGAACCGCGTGATGATCTTCTCGATGTACTCCCCATGCTTCTTCTCCTCAAACTTGTGCTTGCGGCACAGCGCCGCGCCCGCCTCGCCGTGCAGCGCCCCGCGCACGACCGCCGCGATCTCCGCGTCCGCGATGCTCGCGTCGACCGTCTGCAGCCCCTTGAGGTGCCCGAGGTACGCGGTGATTGCGTGCCCGGCGTTGAGCGTGAAGAGCTTGCGCTCGTTGTACGCCGCGAGGTTATCCGTCAGCGTCATGCCGTTGATGGGCACGTCGAGCGCGCCGGCCTTCTCGCCCTTGAGCGACGGCCCCTCGACGACCCACTCGAAGAACTCCTCCACGCCGACGTCGAGTGCGGACTCGGCGTCGTGCTCCTCCGGGTTGAACGGCGGGACGATGCGGTCGACGGAGCAGTTCGCGAAGCCGACGTGCGCGGCGGCCCATTCGGCGTCTGGGCCATCGAGATGCTTGCGCACCTTCTCGGCGAGCTGCGCAGTGGCGCCGATGGCGTTTTCGCACGCGATGATGTTTATAGTGCCTGCCCCCGCTGCGCGGCGCGCCTTGATGCCCTTCGCCAGCGTCGGCGCGACCTTGTCGAGGATGGGGAGACCGACCGCAGTGGTGATCAGCTTCAGTTTGGGGTGCTCTATCTCGCGAATGAGGTCGTCGGCGGTGGAGAGGACGCCCTTGACGTGGTTTATCTCCAGCACCTCCTTCTCGCCGTCCTCTGCGCCGTTCGTGTCGAGGATGTGGACGCCGTATGCGTTTTCCTCGTTGATGGTGTCTATGAGGCCCTTGTCGACGTCGGTGAACACAACATGGTAGCCGGAGTGGGACAGGAGGGGCGCGATGAAACCACGGCCAATGTTACCTGGACGCAGTATGTTATTGAGGTTGTAATGGTGGCGATGGATACTTGCCGGCTCCAAAGTGGATTGCACGGGGTTTCAAGGACATTGTTCAGGTGGTGGTCTGGTGGCGAGAAGGACAAGAAGATTGGAGCCCCAATCCGCTGGCAGCGTCCTACTTATAGTGCCCCTGGGAATCGGAGAACGACCCAGATGGCGCGACTGACGTCGCTGTGCGTGATCGTGGGCGAGAGGAGGAGGTTATGGCGTCCAATCCAAGCAAGCCCAAATACGCCTCCTGTGTCCAACCTCCATCCACTTTTGTTGTTGCCCCCAATCTCGCCAGGGGTGGCTAGCCTCTGGTAGACAGCCACACACAACGAACAAAAATCGACATTGAACGAAGATAGAGGTAGCTTTTGTTGCTCGGAACAAGCAGATTGACTCCTGGGCCGGAAAAAACACTCTCGACCTGGGAGTCGAACCCAGCTCTGCCGCGTACAGCTTACGCGGTGTCGCTCCGATGACAAGCGGCTGTACTAAACCGATATACTAGTCAAGACATGAACTTTCCGGCCTCCGATTGCGTCCGGAAGCTAGCTGAGAGTGTTTTCGAACATTTTCCATGTAAATTTGAACGACGCGCGCTGACTGGGACACCTGTCTGGCGCTCAACAATGTATAGGAACCGGAGGTATTGTATCTGTGGTGGCTACTGTACTTATACCTACGTCGTGTCGCCGTGTTGGCCGCCCATTTGACCGGGACTTGCCGTGGCTCATTCTGAAATTTACCCTTTTTTTCATTATTTTCTTTCTCTCTCGTCCGCTCATCCAGCATACAATCGCACCCAAGTCGACCCCAAAACACACGAGCTACTCTCGGGCGCTGATAAATAACGAATGCACGGCATGGGATTGGACGACCCAAATGCGGTAGGTGGACGTTCGAAATGAGGACCTCCGCGGTACCAGTCACTCAGCAACTTCTAAAAAAACATATCAACCTTCACCGGTACTCGCCACACCATTCCACTCCGCCTTCCTCTTATCCCCTTCATCCGCATCCATCCACCCTCATCCATCCACATATCCTGCGCCACACATATATTTCTGCCTCAAAAGCAGCTGCTGCAAAAACAAAATAAATAAATAAATGTCGGGACTCGGATCCTCGTTCGACCCAGCAGCAGAGTGCAGCTCGCCTCGACACGCGGACACATACCTCCCTCTCCGCGTCGCCTCCGTCTTCGTCGTGCTCGTGTGCGCCACGAGCGGGACGCTCTTCCCCGTGCTTGCGCGGCGGAGCAAATGGCTGCATGTGCCCAAGAGCGTATTTGAGTGCGTCCCTGTTCTCCTCCTGCCTACCCTCCCATTTTCCTACTTCCTACGCCTTCTTCATGTACTGAATGATCGAAATGAACGGCAGCTTCGCGAAATACTTCGGATCCGGCGTCATTGTACGTCTCTCCTACCTTCTTCTCCCTCCGCGATCCTCAGCAACTCACGCCTCACAGATTGCCACGGCCTTCATCCACCTGCTCTACCCGGGCCTCCAAGAGCTCTCCTCGCCTTGCCTCTCGCCCGGATGGTCCGAATACGTGCGTCTCGCTCCCTTCGCTGGCCACATCCCGCGCTATCGCCGCATTCAGTCTTGCTTGAGCTATACTCGCTAACTAACGATTCTTGCAGCCCTACGCCCTCGCGCTCTGCCTCCTCAGCATCTTCTCGATATTCATCCTCGAGCTCGTCGCGTTCCGGTGGGGCACCGCGAAGCTGAAGCGGATTGGGATGCGGCATGGTGCGTTGCCTTTTTCCTTCCTTTTTCTTTCTGCTTCCTTCCCCCTTCTTCTTCGTCTTCTCCTCTCCTTATCTTCAGCGGGACTGGTTCTGCGCGCATTTGGAGAGGATAAGGTGGCGGGTGGCGAAGACGCCGAACGCCGAACGCCGAGAAGTCAGCCCGCGTCCTGCCGGGGGCTGGTTGGGGATCGTTTCGCGCGCGATGACGCGGAGGGTGAGGTCGTCGAAGCCAGCCCGCGTCCTCGTGTCTCGTGTCCTCGTACCCTTCTCCGCTCGCCGACCTCGCTTCAGCTCACACTGGATCGAGCGCGCCACGCTCACGACGCCGCATCCGCGAGGCTCAGCGTCGCCGCGAGATGGGCCCGCATCGATTTGGGCAGCTCCGTGGTGTTTCGCTTCCACTAATGCAGTGGCGACGACTCCGCCGCCCAACGTCCCTCTCGTCTTGCCTTCCTCCCTTCGTCGCGCTTCTCTTCGTCCGAGTTCCACTTCCCCGCTGGGTCCTCGTTGTTTGGGTGCGGACGTGTGTGCGTTTGCATACGCGCCACGGTCCCGGACGCCGTACATGACGTATAGCTATGCGCGGAGGCGTTATATCTCCCCTTCTATGCACTGCACTGCGCCACGGTCCTGGGGCGCGTATGGCCGGGCACCGCGCCTTTCCGTCTGTAGAGAACTATGGCGCGCTGATGTGCGGATGCCCGACGAACGACGCGATGGGGACGTTTACTTGCTCTCGACGCCTCGGTGGGATTGCTTCACGCTGAATCAGTGCGCCATACTGGTTCAGTCGACCGCCGCACGCATAAGGCTCAGTGTCGACCTCGAGATGGAGAGCGGGTGTGATAGATGTCCTATCGAGATTTTTCTGTGGTGTTTCTTTTCCAGTAACGACTCCGCTGCCGCGGCCCAACGTCCCTCTTTTCTTCGCGCTTCCCTTCGCCCGCTTCCTCTCCTTTCCATTCACCGCTCGGTCCTCTTCGTTTGCTCGCGGCCGCCCTGGCGCCAGGCGTTGCAGGCGGCGTGTATTTGGATTTGGAGTCGGATGATGGGCGTGCCCCGCGTTTGGGCACCCCCTCTCCGTTTGCACGCGCCAATGTGCCGTCGATGTTGAGGCGGAGAGCGTACGGTGTGGTGTCGAGTGGGCGAGCGACCAGCTTTGCGCCGCTCCGTGGTCCCAGTGACGCTGGTCCTCTTTTGCTGTTGCCCGCTTTTTAATCGTTCTATTTCCGCCCCGTCTTTCTTGCGGACGCGACTGGTGCATACGCATACATTGTTCCTCGCTGACGCGTACGCCGCGAGTCTGGACAGGCGGCATGGATTTGGATGCTGGGCGTACTGCGTCGCCCGCACATCTCACGGTGCCGGGTTATGTTCCGCAGGCGCTGCGTCTCCGTCTGTTCTGGTCGAGTGTAATAGGGCGTCGATGTGCACATTGCGTAGACGGAAACGGACCGCAGATAGGGACGAGAACTGGCGTTGGCTTCCTTGCTTTTTCGTCTTATTTGGCCGGGAGGAAATTATCGTTTGCGGCGCGCTGTGTTTTTACTTGGCTATCTTGTGTCGGGCTCTTTTCCATCCCACCTCCTCCTTCCTTTCTTCCATCTTATTCTACCCTCTTTTCGAATCCGATTCACTCTTACTCACCCATCCCCATCTCTGCAGACCCGCACGGCCACTTCACGGGCTCACACGCCGCGCACGGGCCCGAAGGTGCGCGCACGCCGCCTGCCCTTGCCTCTCACGCATCCCCCCTTCCGCTCCCGACGACGCTGAAGGACACGGCCGAGTCGTCGTCCGCGTCCGAGGAGGAGGAGCACCGCGAAAGCCGCGAAGACGGGCATCCGCACCAGCACGAGCACGGTGCGCACGGGCACGATGCGGGGCATTCGCACCAGCCGCCGCACGGGCATGGACTCGCGGACCATGACGCGGGGCATGGGCATTCGCACCAGCCGCAACCGCAGCCGCATCACCATTATGGGGATGTGGAATCCGGAGAGGTACGCACCTTCCTGTTAACTTGGGTGGAGAATTGAACTGACTAACGAGGATGTAAACAGAGCGGCGGGCACCTGGATGACTCGGCTGCGGCGCAGATTGTGGGGATCGCGATATTGGAGTTTGGGGTGTTGTTGCATAGGTGCGTTTTCGTTGCCTGGCGTGTGTTTTTTTCTTCCCCTTTCTTTCTGTTTTCTTCGTTGGCGCTTTGAATTGGAGGCGTTTGGTTCTACCGCGGGTGGATGGGGAGGATCTGTTTTCGAGGCTACCCACGGGTGGGCGTGGGGCGTCTAGGCGCGACCTTTACGCGCTGGGCCCGGCCGCGGAGGGCTCTTCGCTCGTCGTTATCTGCTCCGCATGCGCACTTACGTGGCGTGTGTTTCTCTACGGGCCCGCGAAGCTGCCGCTGCGCCGTGCGCGGACTGGGGTGCCGTTCCCGATGTGTCCTTGGCCGTGCCACGCCGGCGCGCGAATGTTGGTCTTGGGAAAGCAGCCACTGCGGCTTGGCTCCGAGTTTGCTGCTTGACCGCGGGACGGGGTGCGAGGACAGGAATGCGGCGGTGTTACTGTTGCGACTAATGCCTACCGTCCGTCCTCCTCGCACTGCAGTCTACCCACCCTCTCGTTCTTCTCCGTTTCAGTCATGTCGAGCATCGGTTGGCTAACCTCGATTATTCACCCAGTGTCCTCATCGGGCTAACGCTCGCAGTCGACGAAGGCTTCAAGATCCTCTTCGTCGTCATCGTCTTCCACCGTGCGTACCTCTCCCCCCTCCTCTCCTACTCAGTACTAACTCTAAACCAGAAACATTCGAAGGCCTCGGCCTCGGCTCGCGCCTCGCCTTCATCCGCCTCCCGCCCACGCCGCGCTACCGCCATGTCCCCGTCCTCGCGGCCGTCATCTACGGGCTCAGCACGCCCACGGGCATCGCTGTGGGCCTTGCGCTCAGGACGAGCTACGACCCCGGAAGCGCCACGGCGAGTCTGGTGAGCGGGGTACTGGACTCGGTAAGCGCGGGGATATTGATTTACACGGGGTTGGTTGAGGTGAGTTTGGGCTTGGTTCTTCCTTCCTTCCTTCCTTACTGTTTCGTTTGTACGTTTTTTTTTTTCGGCGCTCGACGCGGTCGACGAGCGAATTGCGAATTCTCTCTCACACCACTACTTTCACTAAATCACATTACTAACCAATACTCCGCAGCTCCTCGCGCACGAATTCCTCTTCAACAAGGAGATGATGAACAGCTCGAACGGGCGGCTCGTGTACGCGATTGGGACGATGCTGCTCGGGTGTGCGGTGATGGCCCTGTTGGGGAAGTGGGCGTAGCCGGTGCTTCACGGTGCACTCACTACCTGCTGGGGGTATGGAGGCGTTCACGAGGCACACAGCGCACTTGCGGAGTGTGTCCCGCGTGTAAAGCGGACACCCGAGCTGCGTCCCGCGTGTGCCTGCTGGACCGGTCGATGTCGCTTTCGTGAGCGCGGACGAGGGTCCACAGGAATGAAACCGCCGGCATTGGGCGGAATTGTACGATACATACTCGGACTGTGTTTGCTCCATCCACTCCATATATCTCATCGACATCTCTCATACCACATCTCATCTACATACGCCCCCACATCTTCCTTGTCTTTCCGATCTTGCTTTGCTTTGCTTTCAGCCGTATTTTTATAACTTGCCCGCATTTCGCACTTCCATCGTTAATTGGCTTTAGAGTACATTTGTTACTTGTATAGATGTAGATAGGTACGTGTGCGGTACC